CCTTGAGCTTTTCTAAAACTCATGAATATGATGAGCGCTAAAATCTGTATCTTTTTTTGCTCACTAATCTATTTGTCTTGACAAATTTTGCAATGAATGGAATTCGTAGCCAAAGAAAAACTAGTACGACGGAATAAATTTTGTTCAACGAATCCCCTTCTTAGGCGGTGATTTTCTATCCATGGAAGAGGGGTATTTTCAATCCGTAGATTGTTTTCTTCTTCATTTTGAATCAACTGACCTTATTTCAATTATGTTTCTTGTTCTTCGTACAAATGTAACGAAGCCACATCCATAAATTCGTGCCACACAAATGCATCAGACCAAAGCGTGCAATATTACCTCGCCCCAAAAATTATCTAGAATATTATTTCTTTTTGGCTTATTGTGTTAAGTGCTCTTTTCAAAAATCGATTACAAACCGTCTATTTAAGCAAACAGATAGTTTAATTATAATGATATTAGAAAACTACCTTCCCATTACAGTACACAAACCACATTTGCAAAAATATAAATAGAGCCGTAATGAAGTTAAGGAAATTTGACCTGCAAAAAATCGGGTATGCCCGAAATTATAATGATTCCCTACAATTCCACTAGAACAGGTCATTATAGATCGATTTTTGTGATTGTATTCTTTCCGGCTTCTTTTTACAAGAAGTCACAACTAATGATCAAAAACCTGGATCGGTGACTGTAAAATTCGGCTTTCGTTCACGTGTACATAATGTCTGTGAAACAAAAAGCGGGAAACAATGAAATTTTGTAGAATGAAGAAAGTTATGCAAAGTGCGTTTCTATCACCACATATTAACTGGTAAGTAACCCTATAAAATATACTTGCATATACATATACATATATATATATATATATATATATATATATATAACACCTGACGCAAAAGTTTCTGCACGCCACTCTATATCACTAGGGTACATTGAAACATCATACCACCGCTAACAGTGGTTCATGTTAGTCAACAATAAGCCTCCAGCAACTTTGAGCTTGAATTTATACAAAAAGGGACATTACATTGCATTACACTCGGCTTGGCCTTCGCTCTTGCTCCAACCCAACGTGCAGATAACAAATATTAATCCATAGTACACCACTCCTATGAGGCCAAACACTACAATACGATGTAATTTATTTCAACTGAGTGATGAAGTGCAGAAATATGAAGAAGAGAAACGATAGATATAATATTAGAATTCCTCACCAATACATCCAATTCGTAGATATAGACTACCTGTATTATTGTTTACCATCACCTAAAACTTCATCGTAAACTAGTTATCTGGATTATTTCTAGAACATCCGATGTAGCAAATGTTTGCACTCGGACTTTTTTGAGATAATTATTCAACAAAGTACTTCTCTAGTGGTCAGAAAGCACTATTCTGTACTAGAGTAAGACAATGTTGGGTACGTGTTCCGATTCGGAATATTACTAGGGCTTATATGCTAAAACTACCGATGGTCCAAAACCGGACATTCCTGTGAGAACTATGCTTTTCCGTTGTGCTGCCACTTCTTGATATTGCCGACATACCAAAAATCTGGAATAAACAATGAACAATATTGAACCTCCGAACAACCAGACGCCTAGAACAAAATATTTTATGTGATGGTTCTTACACGACTTTGAAGATGACGATTTTTGCACTCGAAAAACGCCATTTGCCGGAAATTTTCATCAATGATATTACACAAAAATTCACTGATAAAACACTCACGATGTGTCATTACGATGATGTGATAGTCCGGACCTTTGTTACGTTGGACGATTCAATGCTAATCAGATGGGCTCCTGGTCACCGCTTACTCTCAGTACATCTCTATTGGCCAATGTTATCGATACTGAATAAAACTGACACAGCCGATCAGTAAGAGCGCTGCTATGATTCACATCTTATCAGTTGGCACGCACACGAATGTTTGGCGACTATGAGCTTTTTCACATAATCTCTATACAAAATCCATGAAATGTAATAATCTTTAGCTTTTCGCTTTGATAGAAGAAGATTCATTTACTCAAAAAAATTTGACTAGAGCCAGATTTTTATTGAGCTCTATGTTTTTTGATTACTTTCAATTCGGATGAAATGGAAATTCTTTTCAGTGTGCTTCATAAGTGGTGAACTTATAGTTGTATTAAAGAGATGCTTAGTAACAGCCACAAAATTTTCATAGATAAATTTTGCCAAAATGTCGGTCAAACGGTATTTTATTTGACAATTTCATACATGCAAAAATTATGAGCAGAATTGACTGAAAAATAAGCAGTAATAACTGGCAAAAAACAAATGGGATAAGGGATAATTTTCTATCAGTTATATATGGGATATAATATGCAGCGAAAAGAAGGGATCAGAAAGAGACATGGCTTTCTTCTATAAAATGATCGGAAAGACGACGAAGAGGTACAATTACAAATAGTATTCAAGTACTCACCTCATCAACTGAGCGGCTGGCTAACCAACAGATGCTCCCGCGGTTTAGAGTGCACGTAAACAATAGAAGAGTAGAGTGGAAGTCACTCAAACACGCCTTCAAGTTACCGAATTCTATCGTAGTCTCATTAAGAAAAAGAAAATGGTCCTGGATCAACCCGCACAAATAAGTAGTTTGAGAACATCTGTTAAAAAGAGCCCATAGTGAACTGTAAGTAAACGTGCTTCGATCCGTCGCTAGCCTCATTCATGAAATCTTAATAACATCTCTGAGTATCCTTTAAGTCGAATGCAACACTTTTGTGCATTTTGAAACGTCAAATCAATTTAATGACTTTAGCATTAGCTTTTAGCTTCAGTAAACATGAAAACTGATCAGTTCAATGTTGTTTTAATAAGAAGTCTAAATAGTTCAATGAGCGAATAGATTGAGCATAACACATTGGCAAGAACTTGCGGTTACATGTAGTCGCTGGTCCGATCCCTCATCTCGGTCTAACCAAACCGTTTACTGCGAAGAACGTCCCCATGTGAAACATAAATTTACTTTTTTTCATCTCTAGAACGCTTAAGAAAGTATTATTCCCAAGACGAACTGTCTATCAACCTCAGCATGCTTCAATATGACTCCTGATTTTTTTCTTTAAGGCATACATGAGGCGTTACATCAAACTTTATTCCACAGCCGACGTTTCTGCAGTTCGCCTTCTTCAGAGCCTGGAATGTTCAAATTGTCCGTAGTTCGATAGTTCTGGTCGACGTGGCATGATATTGGTGACTATACTGAAGTAGGTGTTATAATCTACGTACATAGAGTATAGGAGCATAAAATTTCAGAGCGCCAGATTTGGAGATATTCCGGATCGACTACATCATCCTGTGCGTGAGTCTTCGAAGGAATACGCCGTAATTATACTTGATATGACTCAATAAACATGACTGTTATTTTGACGTGAGAAGTGTATTCACAATTTATGTAATCTCTGAGGGCTAATCGCCACATGAATACATTGGGAACCACAAAAGCGAGAAATTTGAGATGGTTGTTTTACTTTTAGCGATTGAACCTATAACAGTCGTTTTTTTTCTGTTGAAGTACCGCGTATTTTCCTGACTGAGACGTAGATATCGTAATCCTCTTAGGCTCTGTAGCAAGCCGACGATGCGATAGTTGTGGAGAAAATCGCGTTAGAACAGTGTAGCAATAACAAAAAAAAAACACGGAAATTTATAAAATTATAACGCAATGCTGAAGGGAAAAGGGGGCGGGAGAGATGTGACCGAATGGTCAGTGGTGCTCAACACGGAACTGATTTGCCCCTTTGACACTATTCGGCCAACAACGAACGCTCTACACAAACCACAGTCCGACTTTCTTTGAAATTCCAACGGCATCAGCTCAAAAAGTACTCCATTATGCTCGTGAATGAATATCTCAAGCAAAGAATGAATGAGGAGGTGAATCGAATACTAGAAATACTTGGACTCGCACAATAAAGAGCTAAGAAGGGTCGATTGAAGTGTACAAAATTCATTAATTTGCAAGCTTATCCTTTTGTTTGAATCAATAGATCTTCTAGAACGGATTCGTGAGCAAGAGTTTTTGCACTGTAACCACAGATAGTCATTTTAGTCAGCTTTGATCTTGGCAGCCTAGTTCGGCCCTGAGATTTCAGCAGCCTCTCCGTACTCGTCCTACCTGGCGCTGCCGTACCAGGGGCTCTTTCGTGGTCAGGGGAATGAGGCCCATATTTGCTACTGTTTTTTAGTATTTTATACCCAGCGAATAGCTTGATAGGCTCTAAACATGGGGTTAGGTACCACGAGTAGCTTTTCACTCTTTATCAAAGGAGCGGGAGGAGCTTATTTATTAAAGGCGACTCCTAACCGCCTCCCATGTACTTTCCAGCCGCTTGATTGCAGGCTTTTGGCCGACTTGACTCGTAAAAATAGAGTTTGGTCAAATCGGCCCTGCAGAAGCAGGAAGGTCTTTCCCTGAATCCACCTGCGGCTCAGGGAAACATACGGTCGCTTTTGGTCCACGTTTGTTCCTCTATCCACTACCTGGGGAGCCGCCACGTGCCCTCGCGACTAACCGGGCGGGATTCCTCAAAGAGGGAGGTCCGTGGAAATAATGAGTAGAATAATAGAATAATTTTTGTTGATCATATACATCCAATATCTGCTCAAAGATCAACATTGATGTGGCTTGCCCGCCCAAACGTTGAGGTTCGGTTGCTGATATCCTGATGCGTTGTTGTGCAGAAAGAGTGGTGGCAAACAAGCATTGACAGCGCAGTTGGTTAGCACGCGCTCTTGGAAGGTATGGAGTGCGGGTGCGTCTGAATTTTGTATATCACCCAACATTATTGAGCATATTCATAACATCATAATTAAATCGAAGGAATTCTGGTTGCCCACATATTTCCAATATCTGTCAGCGTGATTGCAATAAGTGTTAATATGGCTTGCCAGATCAAATTGTTGACGGTTGAATGCTGAGAGAATGATGCCTTGTAGCGTAAAAAGATTAGTGGGCAGAACGGACGTCGGTAGTGCAATTGGCTGAGCACGCGCCCCAGTAAAGGTCGAAATGCGGGTTCAGGTCCCGCCTGAAGCCAAAGTTTTGCACATCACCAACATCATTGGGCATATATATCATTTCTATAATATCATAACATCGCGAAAAGCGGTCAGGCTAAACAAAAAGAATACGGTACTTCTTCGTCAATACCACACTGTTTGAGACCTTCGGTTAGGATGTGTTTTTGCTTTTGTAAAATTTTGGTAGTCATTTGATAGTTCAAATTGAGTGAGATTGAATGATTTATTTTATTTCTCAAATGCCTTGGTGATGCAGCCGTATCACGCTCCTTCGATAACAAAAATGGATAAAGCACGGGTTTCGCTCCCGCTTGAGGTCAAATTCAAGGTACAACTCAATCTTTTGAGGTGATCATTGCAACGTCATACCAGGGCCAGAAAGCATCTAAATTAAGAAAATGTCGGGTTCTTTCTGATTAAGAAGGAAATAAAAAACCCATCTCATTTTCTGGAAAGAAATTTTGTATAGGATTGTTAGCAACGAATCGAAAGAGGAAACAGCTCCTCATCACCGGCTCTCGAAAAGGCATTTTTGACGTTGTTACAGGAGAAGATTCCTTGGCGTCAGACACGCATACTTCTCGCCAGGGAGAGCATTTTCTTTAGGCTATCAGCATTAATTCGATAGCATAATCGAATTTCTTTTCAACATTGTGCTCATTTTCTAGTAAGACCGTTTCTCTGAAACGCAACAGGTAAAATAAGCTGCAACGCAGCTGGTAGTAAGTCGAATTCCAACGTGGAAGCAACGGTGTCCCGCACGGATCACGTGGGCGCAGGCTGCAGCGGAAATTAAATTGAAATAAGCTGAACTGTGACGCTATCCTTTCCGAGCCCATAAACGTCTAGAGAGCTATCACATAGAGAAGTATCTCGTCAGCAGTCCTTGTGGCCACTACACCCACCGCGGCGTGACTTGGCCAGATTGGTCCTTTCTCACGCATCGAATTCGATTGATTTTATCTCATGCGTTCGCAGAAAAAGAGGCATTTTTAGGGAATAAGCATAGCATAGGCATCAGAAATCACTGCGCTATCTTATGACAATCAATAATCCAAAGAAAGAGCTCTGTCCGGCAGGAACTATGGTCTAGATTTATGAGGAGATCACAGCGTTATGAAAGAGTGCTTCAAAAAACAAGTAACGTGAGGATGTAGCCAAAAATCTGAGATTTCGAATGGTTACCAACACTTCTCTAAAGATATTCTCTCCAGCGAATAAGGTCGGTTTTTCATTTGCTCCTTCCTAATCAGAAAGAATCAAATTCCGATCAAATAACGTTGATTTCAGCGGATGGATGTCGAAAATTTACACAACTAAGAATCGTTCCGTCCTGATCAGTTCCACAGCAGTATGCTCTGCCCTCAACTTTGTCTAACTTTGCAGAGTTTGATGAAAGCTTATCTCGGTTATAGAATGATATACGTCGACTTTCTGGTGCATTAAGTCACTAAATTCCAAGACCGGCCATCTATTAACCTCGACATAGTTTGAATAAATGAGTATTTTCTTCTGTTTAGCCGTTTCGAGGTTCTATTGATATTATTTATTGAGCACTTGCGAAGCATACAACAATACAGTTAGTAATGCAGCGTGAATAAACAATATTCGAGGTGGCTAACGCTTTGATGAGTCGCCTTCTTTAGAGCCTGGAAAGATCATACTGATCCACAATTCACTAGCCCAAAAGCTCCATAATTCCAGTGAAAAACGTTAGAAATGAATTTTGGGTCGCATAGTAGAAAATTCATTTTGAAACACTCATCGTTTCGATGCTTGCGTCTATCAATTATTCATTGAAGGCCGGCCGCTAAGGGTCAGTGCATCAGTGGGCTGTGCCTAGATGAGGCCGGAAAGATCAGCCTGAGGTATGGTTAAAGGTCACGCTCCTTTACGAGGTGAATACGAAGCACTCCTCTTCTCGGTTCATTTTCGGGCCTTTGCTATGTAGCCAAAAGGCTTTTAAGGTTTTACGCTCAGATGTTCTTGATTCTTGTGCGAGGATCGTGAATTTGACGCCGAACATGACTCCTGCATGTTTTTGGTTTGTATGCGTACCAAGTGGAGTTTTTGGATCAGAGTTGCGTAACCCATCTAGGTGCCTTTTTACACCGAGGAATAGTTGTCTACCCGTTTCGCCAATGCACTCATCGTTGCATGCCTCGTAAGAGATTAGGTAATTTGTACCCGATCTCATACAGTCGCCGTCTCTGCCGTTTGGGCAAATTTTGCAGCCACTGGTTTCGCAGAGGCGGTCCTACAGTCGGTTGCGGACTAATTGACGCCTTAGTGTTTTTGGGGGTATATCAACTATTGCTGCCGAATCATCCAAACTGCTCTTTATAGGCAGCGTTTAATAGCCGCGCTTATTTCGTTAGAGAAAAAAGCTTTTTAGGTTAGATTCATAGGAATTTCTGTACTCCAAAACGGCAAGTCTGTTGAAAGTAAGGTTCCTTTCCTCCTACCTTTTATCTTTAACAGAATAAGGACAGCCATTAAACGCTGCCTAAAAAGAGCAGGTTTGGGGAATTTGACGGCAGTAGTTGAAATACCCCCAAAGGCACTAAAGCCTCAAATAGTTCACGAACGGCAGTATGACAGCCTCTGCGAAACCAATGACTGCAAGGTCTGCCCAAACGACAGAGACGGCGACTGTATGAGACCGGGTATAAATTACCTATTCTCTTGCGAGGCATGCGGCGATGAGTGCATTGGTGAAACGGCTAGACCACTAATCCTCCTTTTAAAAGAGCACCTAGTTGGGTTACGCAACTCTGATCCAAAAAACTCCACTTGGTACGCATAAGAACCAAAATATGCAGAAGTAATGTTCGCCGTCAAATTCACGATCCCATCACAAGGAATAAAAATATCTGCGCCCAAAACCTTAGATGTCTTTTAGATACATAGCAAAGGGCCTAAGATGAACCGAAAAGAGGAGTGCTTCGCAATTACGCATGACCTCGAACCATACCTCAGCCTGATCTCCTGGCCTGAGTTGGGCACAGCCCACTAATGTACTGACCCTGAAGGACTGGTCTTCATTTAATAATTTGTAGACCCGATCATCAAATATTGAACGTTTTGAAAATAGGGTTTTCACTGCGCGATCCAAAATTCATTTGTAACGTTATCTGCTAGGCTTGTGGAGGTTTTGGCTTAGTGGATTGCGGATTAATATGATCCTTTCAGGATTTGAAGAAGGCTACCCACCGAAACGCTGGCCACCTCAAATATTGCATGCATTACTAACTGAACTGTTGTTTGCTTCGCTAGTATTCAATAAATAATATGAATAACACCTCAGAACAGCTAAAAGAAAATACTCATTTATTATGTCACTGTTCCTATTCTTCCAGACTACTCTGGTGTTTCTTTTCCGATGCTCGAAGAGGTAGGAAGCTCAGCCTTCATTAGCTCGGGGTGCGCTATCAAACCAGCAATCCCCTTTCGTTGTAGAGGTACCGTCGTCTACTATGGTATAAGCTCCGCTAATGTTGAGCTATTACCTGAAATTTTTTTCTATGTTGATTATTGGGATGTCAAATGATAAATATAACTACGTTAAATTAACTGGATATGAACGATGTGTAAAGTGTTGCGATTTGTTATTGATGGGAATAAGTGTTTGCTATTATAAATTGATAGACAAACTGTGTAATGATCGATTAATTATACTTTTGCTGTTAAACGATTACATTATTCAATGCGGCATTTAATCTTTATTCCGGCATCGAGACAAAAATGTATGGGAACGGAATATCAAGTTCGGCTATCGACGCAGTGCCAAGAAACTGATGACCGACAAAATTATGGCGATAGTCGTCGAGTCAGATGAAGAAGTACGTGTGATAGTTGGCTCTTTGTTCAAATCTCCTTTCCATTGGCTGTCATCTTCTTTGGACAAAGTCCACTTGAAGCATTCTCATGAGACCGAGCGTACTCCAGTTGTATGAAATATGGACTTTTACCTGAAATTAATTGAGTTAAGCACAGTAAAATTAATAGTAGGTCTTTACACACTGTAATTAGACAACTCTAATTAGCCGTCGGGGAAAAATGAAGTCAGATAAAGGATTATGTCTGAGCTGTACCTCAGATGTGACGTTAGAATTCTGTTCATGGACAACGGTATTTCCATTACGACTTGAATTCGCAATTTCTTCATCTAAAATGCTTTCCACTGTAAAATTACAATCGGCGATTTTGAAGGTTAAGCCTCCATCAGTTTTCACAGACGTTCTTTTCGCTGACTTCCAAATCATATGTGATAGTGAGTAAAATTTGATTACACAGCGACACCGTGATCTGCATTTCAAAAAGTTACAGTAAAGTGTACATTCTTCTTTGATGGTTGCTTGATTAATCGAATGTATGAAGCCTTTCATCTCAAAGATTGGTGGGACGCAGAAGGCTCACGACTAGTACTGTGTTCTATCAAATTTATATAATTACAGATCGTTACTATTTTGTAACTTCATTTGAGAGACGATGTTAAAAATAAGCTGAACCGCAAATTCAACTGAATTTGCTAGAACATAGAAATCGAGATGAATTATGGCAAACAACACATTTATGGAAGTATTTTGCATTAAAGCAGTATGGCGAATCGGCCGCAGTGAAAACGCAACTAGCTCATCTTTTGGAACCTTCGGTAGACGATAGGAGTTACACATTACAGCTCTTGTTGCGGGATAAATCGCATATGAGAACGACTAACCGTCTCAAATCATTCATGGTTAAAGCTTTTTAGGCAAGGGTAGGCCAGCTTTACAAGGGAACTTGTGAAATTGCTCTCAGACTTTTAAGCACATTCGAGACATAATAGTAAATAATTACTGTATTTCTGTAGGCATTTACGGTGTCGAAAGTGATTTTGTCATTAGGCAGATATATTGAAACGGCTAGCTACTCATGATGTGTGACGTAGCGGCAATAGGGATCTATCTGTTTAACTAAAGTACCGCTTATGTGATTGAGTGTCGGTCAAATCCGTTTGCAGCTGTTTTTATGACG